AGAGAGAGAGAGGGGTGGAAGGTGGGGTTAGAAGGGAGGAAAAAGAGAAGTGAGTTTCCAATCTGGGCTGAAAGAACTCCAAAAATTTTGGGCTAAGGTGCCCGCTATTGCTAGGGCATCAGCTGCTGCATTGGCCTCGTGTCACGAACCCTTGAATGTAATCTAGAATGGCTTGATGATGTCAAAATTTCATCAATGAAGGATGCAAAATTCCAAGGACACGGGGACACTTTTGAAGCCTACAAGAAAACAATCCGAGTCCCCTTCAACCCAAAAGAGAAACCCCAACTGGGATCAAAGAGTTTCAGTTCTTCCCATAAGGCCAATTGCTCCGCCTTAAGAAAGTTAGCAGTGCCAATATAGCAACATTTGAGCCGCAATGGTTCTAAAGACGGTCGCCCGATACCGGCTGGGCCAAGGTTACCAATGGAGCAACCATTAAATTAAACTTGATGGTCCCATTATTGGGCAGATCCCAATAGTTCAATCTAGTGGTAGACATATGCATAGATAAATGATGTATTTGTAATTTTGCATGAAGTCCACCACTGACCCTTTAAGGGAAAGCTCTAAATGGGAAAAGCTTTAACATTGGACAATTTTAGAATTAGAAAAACTAAATAGGTCTCCATAAAAAAATCATTTTTCAGATTCTCCTATATATTAGAATCTCACACTTTATTGAAATTAATGGAGATCACAGCGTTTTATCTTTTTTTAATTTTAAATAAAAATTGTGATTTGAAGAACCGTATGGATAAAATTATAAATGTGTAATCTGAAACGTAATTATATTTTGTCAGCCATGCAACCATAACACGACTTCTTCCCTTGACACTAGCCCTTCCATTTTATTTTTATTTCAAATAAAAAATATAAAAAATAAAAAATAAAAAAAGATTACTGACCTATTTTTTTCCGCTGTGCTGCTGAAAGTCCAGACTGAAGCACTGCATCCAATTGATTCATCAATGCATTTGAGTGACTGCAATGGAAAAGGCCAACAGATTATATAGAAAACATAGCCCTAGAACCTAAAAAGTGAAAATAACCATTTAAGGGGTAGATTACAAAATTGATTACGCTATATCTCTAGTATAAAAAAAAAGTGCTGCGAAGGGTTAACTTCGGTATCAAAGAGATTTAAGATGCAATATTCCTTTTCCAGAACAAGTGAAAACAAAATAGGACATTATTGATAGTTACCTCATGGAAGTTTGCCAGAAGCAAATTTCACTTTTTATCTCACACTTGCACACACAAATGCACGAGTTGACACATACATAAGCACATAGAGAGAGAGGTGCATGTACTATGACACACACACACATATAT